TATGTTTACCTTTTTGATGGCTTTGACCAGTGTCTCGTCGCTGATCGCACCGGATACTGCAATTTTCATTCGTAGAAATGTGAACGAGGGTTCAGCTTTTGGACACAGAGAAAATACAATGTCAGAATCTACCATATTTTAAACACGTTCAACAACATTTATGGACATTTATAAACATTTATCAACATTTTTGGACATTGGTGCTCCTTATGGACCAATGGCTCTCTGTCTTTTTTATCATTGCATTTACTGTATGTTTTTGAACTGTTTGATTCACTCATCTGTGTTGGTAAATTCAACGTTTGTGTAAAGTCCTCCGAGATAACTACTGTTGTGATTTATGGCGTGAAGAGAAGAATTGGATTTTAAATTGAATTGAAACAACTTTTAAACATACCACACTGGTCTATTTATTTTTTGTATAATTAAAAATGTTGTTTTAAAAGGCATAATGGATGATGTTCTACTTCCGGGTTGATCATCAAGACTATTGGTCCTCCCAATTGACATCATTCTGATGATGAGCGAGAGTTTTGTTAAAAAAAGTGGAGAGGGCAGTACTTTGGGAAAATCCTCCTATTTACCTTTAATATTTTAATATTCATGTGGATAATGTTGATGACAGAAATGCAAATGAGCTGAGTTCTGTACTTGAATCCTTTGATCTCACTCAGCACGTAAGTGGCCCCACCCACAGCAGAGGGCACACTCTAGATCTGTTAGTTACTAAGGGGGTGAATATTTCAAATGTAAACGTGGTCGATGTTGCTCTTTCGGATCATTTCTGTGTTTTTTTTGACATGTGTTTCACTAACAAACCACCAGTGGACTCTGCAACTGTACGAAGAAGACACATAAATGAAAATACGAGTGAACTATTTATGGGAATGATAAACTTTGAGAATGCATCGTATTCTACTGTAGATGAACTGTTTAACTCTGTCACCTCTAGTGTTTTGAATGTTCTGGATACCGTTGCCCCTGTGAAGGTTAAAATAGTGAAAAATAAGCAGAAGGCGCCGTGGGCTAAAGCAGACTCGGTCAGGGCACAAAAGAGAAAGTGCCGGAGGGCCGAGCGGAAGTGGCGCAAGTCCAACCTCCAGGTTGATTACGAGATCTTCAAAGATAAGTTGTGCGAGTTTAACCGGGTGCTACGTAGTACGAGAGAAAGGTATTTTTCTGAAATGATTGAAGGCTGCAGCAACAATCTGCGTGTTCTGTTTTCAACAGTTAATAGATTAACAAACCCCCCTGTTCAAATGCCATTAGAGCTTACTTCCAAACGTAAATGCAATGAGTTTGCAAATTTTTTCAATGACAAGGTTCAAGGCATCAAAAACGCCATTGTCTCCAATCCACAGATAACCATCCAACAGCCAGAAAGGCTCTCTGAGCTAACTCACTTTGCACCTGTAAATGATAAAACTGTCCAAGAGATAATCTCCAGTTTGAGCTCCTCCACATGCAGCTTGGATGTACTACCCACTAGATTTCTGAAGTCTGTTCTGAGCAGTCTGTTACCTTCACTCACACAGATAGTAAACATGTCCCTTCATTCTGGAATATTCCCAAAGGCCCTGAAAACTGCAGTCATCAGGCCCCTGCTAAAAAAGAGCAGTCTCGATGCTACGGTACTTAACAACTATCGTCCCATCTCAAATCTGCCATTTATGGGGAAAGTCCTTGAAAAAGTTGTCTACCTACAGCTTACTAGATTTCTTATAATCAACAACTCATTTGATATGTTTCAGTCCGGCTTTAGACCCCACCACAGCACTGAGACTGCTCTCGTCAAGGTTACAAACGATATCCGGCTGAACACTGACGCAGGCAAAGTCTCAATCTTAATCTTGTTAGATCTAAGTGCTGCCTTTGACACCGTCGACCATGAGATCCTCTTACAGAGACTAGAGGACTGGGTTGGAGTCGCTGGCACCGCCCTAAGTTGGTTTAGGTCTTACCTTGAGGACAGGAAGTACTTTGTGGAGATTGGAAACTGTGTCTCAGATCATATGGCCCTGACCTGTGGAGTACCACAGGGGTCGATCCTGGGACCTCTTCTGTTCAATCTCTACATGCTGCCGTTAGGTCAGTTAATACGCAGAAACGAAGTTTCCTATCATAACTATGCAGACGACACTCAGATCTATGTCTCACTGACTGCAGGAGAACATGGACCAGTGGACTCACTCCTTCACTGTATCCAACAGATCAGTGAGTGGATGCAAAACAACTTCCTTCAGCTAAACACAGACAAAACTGAAATGATTGTCTTTGGTCCCCAGAAACAAAGAGAGAGCGTCATCTGTCACCTACAGTCTCTCTCCCTAAAACCTTCAAACAAGGTCAGAAATCTAGGGGTAATACTGGACTCAGACTTAAATTTTAATAGCCACATCAAATCAGTAACATCAGCAGCTTTTTACCATCTAAAAAACATTGCCAGGATCAAAAACATAGTGTCTAAAGCAGACTTGGAGATTCTTATCCATGCATTTGTCTCCAGTAGGTTAGACTACTGCAATGGCCTGCTCACAGGTCTGTCCAAACAGGCTGTTAAACAGCTGCAGTACATTCAAAATGCAGCAGCTCGAGTCCTGACAAGAACCAGGAAGTACGACCACATTAGTCCAGTCCTCAGGTCTCTGCACTGGCTTCCTGTGGCTCAGAGAATAGACTTTAAAACAGCTCTGCTTGTGTACAAGTCTCTCCATGGCCTCGCACCAAAATATATTAGTGACATGTTAGTCCCATATGAACCAGCCCGGACTCTGAGGAGCACAGGGACTGGACTCCTGTTAGTGCCCAGAGTCAGAACTAAACATGGGGAGGCTGCTTTTCAGATTCATGCTGCTAAAATCTGGAACAGTCTTCCTGGAGATGTGAGACAGGCCTCCTCTCTGACAATGTTTAAAGCCAGGTTAAAGACAGTTCTGTTTAGCTGTGCATACAACTGAGGGATTTTATATTTGTATCTTTCTTTTTAATGTTCTGTGATTATTTATGATTTTAATGCTTTCTTGTTTTGTTCAGCACTTTGAATTGCCTTGTGTATGAATTGTGCTATATAAATAAACTTGCCTTGCCTTGCCTTGCCTTAATATAGTTGTAAATTTAGTTAACCCTATCCTTCACACAAAGCGGCTCACAGGATGATCTGGGAATCGTCATCATTACAAAGCGGTCGCAGTTGCTCCAGGGTCAAAACGGTGCTGGAAGAAGTTCCCTGCGGTCACGCACCCCCCCTTGCAAAATAGGGAGGGGGGCGCGCCCCACCACTCTCTATTGTAGACCACCTGCAGTGGATGTGCAATTATACTTTATTCAAGAACCCCCCCCCCACAATATCTTAAAAGCACTGATTTATATTATTGATTTTGTAAAAGTGTGAGGGCTTGGCTGTTGTTTGAGGTGATCATTGCAGTTTTACTTTTGATTGTGAATTGAGTACGTTACACAAACCCAAACCTAAATGATCAAGTTTTTGTTTGGTGTACACTTTACATCTTTATTTCCTACAGTAACTCCCCAAACACACATGCGTCTAATGTAAAACTAAACAAATGCCAGGGCGAGGCTTCTGCGACATCACTCACGTTCCTCTTTCACCCAAATGGAGAGAGACTCATACTCTCTATTATTTCTGTTGTGTTCTGTATTATTTGTGTTGGTAGTGTGTTAACTTGATGCATATGTACTGCAAAAATATTAAGACAATAAAGAAAGTGATTTCTTTGGTGGTAGATTTTCTGAAACAAAATTAGTTTAGATTGAACCAAAACTGGACAATGGGGCTCTTCATCAAGAAGATCAGGGTCTCTGTGAGTGGATGTTGCATGTTCTCTCAGTGTCTTCGTAGGTTTACTCCAGGTTAGATATCCCCTATCACTTTCCATTTAATTATTTGAACCATGAATTTAAGTCTATGCTATGCCAAAAATGGATTTAGAAAGAGGAGCCTATACTGTACCATCAAATAAATTCAGGGATTATAGGAGAGGTGTTATGGACATGTCCCATAACGCCTCCCCTGTTGTGGGGAAGACCCAGGACACAGAGGTGTCTCTCAGCTGGGAACGCCGCAGGATTCTTTGCAGATGATGCTTGGACTGCTGCCCCTGCGCCCGGCAACGGATGAAGCGGGAGAAAATAAATGGAAAGATAGGTACTTTTTGTATTGTTCTAAATCACAATAGCAGTGTTCTCTGGGGATATCCCAAAACAGATCAGAAAATCAGAGAATTCGAACACAGGAAATGCAATAAAAATCATCATTGGTGATTGGTGAGCCATTGGTTCATAGAGAGCAGGATGCCCATGTCCATAAATCAAGTTATTCATAAAAAAAGAACAAAATATATAATATAATAATAATAATAATAATAATAATAATATGAATTATTTTTAAGGGTTGGTCTAAATGGCCTGAGTTTATATGCCTGGATTATTAATTATTGCCTGGACAATCATAGACAGGAATAGAAAACAAACCTGCTGTTACAGTTGGCATGAAGGGAGCTGGACTCGCAGTGGCCATGTTTGTAGCTTCTGCTGTTGACACAAGACTACTGGCTACAGTTGTCAAGGCATTTGGAGAAGCTGCTGTCATAGTTGAGACAGAAGAGGAGGATGGACTTGAGGAATGTTCATTTACATTTTCTTTTTGGGGCAATGCAGTTGCCAAAGATGTGAGACTAACAGTGGTGGATGCATCAGGGGGACCCATAGTCATAGTTGGAGTTGGAGAACTCTCAACAGCTGTAGGTGCAAAGGGTGTCGATGTAGTAGTGGTAATTGATGAAGTCTGGGCTTGAGAAACCATATCTAAATCTGCTGTAATCGCGACAGCCTCTGCTTCTGTAGAACCACTATTTTGACTTTGAGAAATAGCACTCGGAGATGAAGAGATTGGAGTTGATAAAGGTGTTGTAGTTGGCGCCTGTGTGGTAAGGTGAGGAACTTTGGTTGTAATTGGGACTGTTGTGGATATTTGGGAAGGTCTACTCGTAGTTAGAGTCGTCTGAGTGGTAGATGGAGAATCGGTTGTAGACGAAATTGGAGAAACTGAAGCTGTTGTGGTTAATATGGGCAAAGACATTGGGTTGGATGGTAAAATATTGCCGGTAGTTTGCTCGGTTTTGGCTGTGATTGGAGAAACTGAAGCTAACGTTGGCGAGTTGGGGAAAGTCGAAGATGGAAAAGACGTCATTAGCATATTTTGAGGAGTCACTGTAGTTCCGGTTGACACAGTCTGCTTGGTTGTGTCTGCGATCGGAGAAACTGAAGCTAACGTGCTTGTTATTGTCGTCGTTGGAGCATTTGGTGAAGAGGTTGATGGAAAAGTAGCCGTAGTCGCTTGTGTTGTGCTTTCTGACATTGTTGTTTCAGAGGCCGTGGAGTACTCTGCTGGTGTGATGGTTGAAGAAGATAAAGAGCTTTGAGAGTTTGTAGTTGTTGTGGTTGATGATGTAACAGACATGTTAAATGGGATTCCAGTTGAGTTTGCTGAGAAAACGATAGCAAATTGAATACATCACACGGAAATCCATTGATTGGAAAACAAAGTGAATATACACATTTATACCAGGGGTGTCAAACAGGATACAGAACAACTTGAACAGGAGCAGAGCTGACTCGACCCATTATCTCAAATCTTAATTAGAACTGGACACATATGAGGAAATGGGCGGAGTCTGGCCCTGATTTAAACTAATGCTGTAGTTCTGCTTTAGACCTTCAATAAATCACGACCATGGCATCTTATTTATTCCCACTCCATATGTGGTTAAAGGCAAAATGCCTGCATATTGCAGAGGCTATACAATTGTAGGGTGGCTCAGACACCCTTAAAATTATCCGGACTTTTTAACACCTATAGACGGAATTGTATATAATAATCTGTAGTTAGATCCCCCTCATTGCAAATGCTTCATCTGCAAATATATGGATGCATATGTGTGTGTGTGTGTGTGTGTGCTATGCTATTATAGATATTATATTAGAGAGATATTATATCACAGTGATTATAATAGTTATTATTAGTTGTTAGTTAATCTTGTTTTGCGAACATCAGAGAAGGTACAAACAAAATGCGACCAAGAGTTGACCCCAGTAAAACTGAATGAAATGTTTATAGTATTGTAGTAATTATAGTAATATTATAGTATTTCATAGTGTACTTTGCAGATATTAAATGTATGTTTGGGAATGTAAAGAAAGCAGTAATAAGGGGAGGACAAATAATGATCGGGTCCAGAGTGAAGCAGCAGCAACATACTAACAATACAAACATGTATGAACACATGCGTTATATTTGTATGTTTGATAGACCTCCCACCCCCTTCTCCTCCTCCAAAGGTGGCCTTGAAGGTCTACAATCGCCTCTGTGCTACAGTAGGAATGTTTTCATTATTTGCGTTCTGTTTTTGTGCCTCAAGAAGAGAAAGTTAAGACATTCCTAAAATAAGTGAATATAAAATACAAACTAATACTCAAGTATATAAGGGCTTTATGAACGTTTCATTGCCCAGTTTTAAGCTGTGCACATTCAGTCCTCGTCATTATCTATACATACCTTCAGCAAGTGTCTTTAAGCCTCCTAGGAACAGAGCAGCATAGATCCACCTGAGGTCCATGGTTCTGCTGCAGTCTGTGGATTTCTTGCGTCTGTGTTTTTCCTTCGTCTGTGTTTTTCCTTCGTCTGTGTTTTTCCTTCGTCTGTGTTTTTCCTTCGTCTGTGTTCGTCGTTTGTCTGTGTTCGTCGTTTGTCTGTGTCATGTGCCAGATGCTCCTCCTGCTGTCGGGCCCGTTTCCGGCACCTCATGCCCCATGGCGGTGCATCTTATTATCTGCCACTTACAGCTAATCGCTTAAATGCTGTTTTGTAAGTTACATGAGAGGTCCATTTTTGTGTTACGTCTGTCTTTCTAATATGAGTTGTCAAGTTTTAAAGATGTAAACCTGATCAGACATGCACAGTAACTGCAGTGGAAGCATTCTGTCTATAGTAAAATTGTATTCAACTAACCCATAGACTGTATATAGATGGACAATGCTAACTTGCTAGCTCAATGAAGCCCAATAGGAAAGTGCTCATGGACAAAGTTTTTCTCCACCTCTCTCTGGCTCCTAATGACTTCCATGTAAAAGTAAACTCCTCTGTAACGTTTGTGTCACACTCACCATTTTGTGCTTCAATCTGTGGTTTATTTATTTGTGATACACACAATACACGCATACACTCTCACATGCACCCACTCACAGTCATACACACACACACAATTCTCTCACACACACTCACAGTCACACACACAAACACTTGCACACTCACTGCACACATTTGCATACACATACATGCACACATGCAATACACACACACACACACACACATAAACACGCACACACACACACAATGCACGCATGCATGCACACACACACAAACAGTCACACTCACCTATGGACAAACAGCTGCTGTGATTATGGGACAATACACATACATATACACACACTTACATACACCCACCCACTCACACACACACAAACACACTAAAACACTCACACACCACTATGGACCAATGGCTGCTGGGTTTAAGGGACATTTAGTACCAAACATGTCTGTACATGTTTCCGTCGTGTGTAATCTGTAACTGATTCCTGTTTATAAGATTTAAATAAATATGTGAAAATGTTTATTACATATTTATACTATACTAATACATGTATTATATGCTTATAATATATCGATATGTGAATTATATATGTATAATATATGAATATGTTTATAATATCATAATATGTATAACATATGTTTTTAATATCTCAATATGTTTATTATATGTTTATATTAAACAGCTCTTCACGGTAGAAGTAGAGCGCTCCATTGATTTGAACATTATTTCTGGTTAGAGCATCGGCCTTTGAGCCTGAAGGTCGTGGGTTCGAGTACTTCACGACTCCCACTGATGACTGCTGTCGTTGTGTCCTTGGGCAAGACACTTAACCCCACTTTGCCTGAAGCCCCAAGATCAAGGCTCCTGTGGACTCACCACCTGCAGGAGGATCAGTGAGGGGCTGGTGCTAAGTGTACAGGGTGTAGCTCTGACTGCCACCCCCCCGACCCAGAAATGGATTAAGAGGAAGAAAATGGATGGATGGATGGACTTTGGAAACCAATAATGATTAACTCAATTTGTGTTTGTGTCTGATCACTTTGCAAGTAGTCTGGCCACTTCATCAACAAGCTTTCAGCGACACCGTCCTCCAGCGGTATCAGAGGCGCCTGTCGCTCCGTCTGTCTCTGCGTGATAAGCTGAGGAATCGCTCCTGAGGGGAACTGGAGTCCGACTTTCAACACCACCATTCCTCTCCACCTCATCTCCATCTTCGACGGGAACGTCCAGTTTAATATAAGTAAGCATCTAGCCTAGCTGTTACTCTACTAGCCACACAACAGCAGAACCTTTAATCATTCATAAAAGTGGGCTAAAGTTTATTTTGTGTGTTCAGTTATAATAAGCGTGGGGAATCAGACCCCCGCTTATTATACAGGTTTGCTCTGTCTGTACTTATTTTCCGATAATGACCTGTGTCATTATCCCTTACATAATATACAAGTATATTTATTATATGTTTATAAATATGAATATGTTTATTACATGTTTATATTTTATTAATATGTTTATTACATGTTTATATTTTATTAATATGTTTATTACATGTTTATATTTTATTAATATGTCTATGATATGTTTGTAATATATTGTACACATTATATATGTGTAATGTATGTTTACACTATATGAATTGTTAATAATAATTAATATGTGTTTATATGTATGTTTTTTTACATTATATGAATTATTGATAATAATTGGGGCGACAGTAGCACAGTTGGTAGAGCACTGGTCTTTGGACCTAATGGTCGTGGGTTCGATCCCACCACGACCCGTGTCAACTGCTCCAACTTATGTCTGCTGTCGTTGTGTCCCTGGGCAAGACACTTAACCCCAATGTGCCTGAAGTCCCAGCTGAAAGACCAAGGCTGCATCTGTGTCGAAGGAGCAGCCATCTTCCCGTGGACACACCACCTGCAGGAAGATCAGCAAGGGACTGGTGCTATGTGAATTAGGTGGCAGTTCACCCCTCTGGAAAATAAAGGGATGTAAATGAAATTAAATTGAATGAAATAATAATAACAATTATTAATAAGTTTAGATAAGATAAACCTTTATTCGTCTCACAGTGGAGAAATTTCAGTGTATGTCTACAATATGTTTGTAATATATTCATAGGTTTATTGTATGTTTATAATATATTATTATGTTTATTATATGTTTGTAATATATGATTAGGTTTATTTTATTTTTTGGTTGGTTTCAATATATATTATTTGTATTTATTTATTAGTTTTCCAAATCTATTTTTTGTCATCATTAATTTATCACTAATGGCACAAAGGATTTTACTAAAGAACTCACAGAGACCATAAAACTGTAAAGAAGATCATTGTAGTTGCTAAAACTATGGACATGATACGTACAATATGGTCCATGATATTTATGTGTAGAATTTTTATGAAGATTATCCAATCAGAGAGCAGAATGAGGCTCAGTTTAGGGTGCCAGTTTGTTAGCTGAAAGCTAGCTGGTTTTGGCCTATGCATATTAAAAACAATGTTCACAAACAACAATATATACATTAATGGCATCACACATTTATTTAAATGAAAGCAGATACAAAAATGAATAGTCAATCATCATCATACAAAGTTTTTGTACTGTTTCTAGCTAAACCCCAGCAGGTGGATTGCATCAGTAATCACCGCTGCAAAAGCGGGATGGTAATTGTAGTGACTATATTCATTTTAAACTATATGATGTAGATTGTTTTGCCTTGTTTGTCGCTACATGGTTGGGACAGGTTGTTGTTATAGACGTTGAATCTCAATGTTAGTTTTCTGGGATTAAGTTTGATCCGTCGCTGAAGCACTCGCAGTCGCGTTTGTGGCGAGACCAATCACTTCATTTTCAATATATGTCACTGCCACCTCAAACTCAGCACTTTCCAATATCTTACGGAGAAACTGAAAGAGAAACATATGCGTTAATGTTACTGTATATACATTGTACCAACCCTAACCCTATTCAAGTTAAGACCAGATTCGCTGTCTGGAGTCTTGAGGACACACGTCAGACACGCATTTGGCAATGTGGGGGAAGGACCTAACATCAGCCACTGTGGCACAGGACGTAGTGTATGAATATTTCTCCCTTATGGACCAATGGCGGCTTTGTGTTTGTTTTATTGTACTTCATGTGTCCGAACTAGAGGTGGGACCCTCAGATTCCCACCTCTAGGTTACCTCACGTTACGATACGATGTGCAATACAAAGCTCACAATAACAATTATCTGATAACAATTATCTCACGATATGATGATGCAGCGATTATCAATGTACTGGTCAAAAATATGCCTACGATGGCAGAAATTAAGTGAAAAAATACACTTTATCTCAAGATAATTGAATAAAGTGTCATATGTAACATTAAAGTGAACAAGCAAAAATGCCTTTTAACCTGCAAATTTTAGTAAAAAATCTTACTGAATCTGTCTTTCATCAAATAAAATCAATATGAACAAATTTTAGATTGAGTAATGGAGCCATATTATCAATACATTGTTTGATTCTCAGATCTGTTGTTGGCGTTCAAAGTCCTCTTTGTAAATTCCCCATGATTTAGGGTGACCCAGAAATAAATTGAATTGAAGAATTATAGTTTATCTTGTTTTGAGTGTGGAGAGTCCTGAGTCCTTATTATAATATATTATGTTTTCTCTTCTCTTACTTCTGTGATGAGTTCAGACAATGTTTCGTTGTTGAGATCAACATAAGAGTCCAGTTTCATGTTCAGAAAGCCCAGTGATGTCACACCTGCAGAAACACAAGGGAAATCTTAAATTCACCCTGATATTAAGATAAAAAATGAGTTACAATAATCACGATAGGCACGATATATATACACACACATATATATATTATATATATATATATATTCATTATATGACTTGGACCGTACGCGCGCTCTGATTGGCTGATTACCGATCTGATATTTTCCCATCTCGGACCGTTACCATGACAATTGGTCCGAACAGCGCGTATCACATTTGATGTCTTTCCTCGGACCGTTACCATGACAATCTGTCCGCAGCGCGTATCACACAAAACCAAGTCAGACATGAACATACTTCACAAATATCTCAAAAGCATTGGTAAAGACACAGACGAGAGTCGTTTAATAAAACATTTATTAGCTCGCTTGTTCGGTCTGTACAGAGAAATATCAGACCTCGGCCTTTTTGCACAGACCTCGCCATGGCTCGGTCTGTACGTTAAGGCCGCGGTCTGATATTTCTCCATACAGACCTCGCGCTCGGTTAATAACCCGTTAATACACACACACATATATATATATATATATATATATATATATATATATATATATATATATATATATATATATATATATATATATATATATATATATACACATATATACTGTATATACATATATACATCTCTTGGTTAATCTTGTCTTCTTAGAGTCTGAGTTACTTTGTTCTTCAACTTCAGACAATAGTAGCATTTAATGTTAAAACCTTGACATTAAGATTAAGATGAAGGGACTGTGGGGAAATGTCAGTGTTGCATCACCAGTTACAAGTGAACACTAAATCTCTAGCTTTAGAATGACAAATAATAATGTATAACATCTCTAGCTTTTGCATAATAAAGTTTCAAAGACATCTGAGGACGACTGAAGTAAAGGTTATAATATCACCATTTTTCCAGTTTGTCTGGAATAGAAGAAACAAATGTGTCACTTTATTGTAAACCTAAAGATTGAAAATATGAAATTCAGAAAAACGTACTTTTCCAACTTTCTGCCTAAAATCCCATACCCGCCCCTTCACAAAACAACATGTTAGAATTCTGTTATCTGTCACACAGCTGAAAATCTAATGTCAAACTCGAACCATCGACATGTGTCCCACATGTGTGTATAAACAGTATAGTTTGTTTTCTTTGCATATCTTAAGATTATTCACTTTTCTCACAGTTTTCTGAGTTGGTTATTGCCGATGCAGGAGGGTTTAATGACAGTGATGATCCGGTACATTCAAGGACCTATAAGGACATTTAAGGACATTGAATGTCCTGTGTTTGAACAGATTCTCTGATCTGTGAGTGTGAATGGTTGCAAAGTCCTCCAAGATAATTGCTGTTGTGATTTGCACTGGTTTGATCAGCGGTTATTGTACTTGGATCAGCTGTAATCACTGTAGGAACAAGTGCAGACGCAGCACTTCCAGCTGACATATGTGTGCTTGTAGCATTGGTTGTAGTTTGACCAGTTGTGCCCACAGTTGGACCAGTACTTTTCAGAACTGGACTTTCAGAGGTGGACAGCATTGGAACTGTTGTCGCCATTGTTGGTGATGTGGCAGAAGTGGTGCTTTTTGTATTGGGTGGGGTTGACCCTGAAGAAAAGCATATGAAATACATTAAGCGTGCAGACAGTGGTCATCCCACTCTCTAAGGACCAAAAGTTCTATGTATTTGTTATTATTGCATTTTCTGTGTTCAAACTGTTTGATTCTCTTTGTAAAGCCCTTCGACACAACTGCTGTCAAAGGTTATCTTCTTCCGAGTGGAGCATCTGGACTATTGGTCCTCCTAATGGGCAATCATTCTGGTGATACGTTAGTAGCTGCTCCCTCTGGAGAGGGCGGTTCTTTTCTATAATTTGGGAACATCCTCCAATATACCTTTAAAATAAATGGAATTGACTGATTACCTTTAACTGGATCAATTCTGGTTCAAAAAAGCTTTCTTTGGCAATCTACTTTCAATCTGAGCCTTTCCCCTGACCCAGCTCTAGGGTTACCAACCGTTCCTTAAAACACGGAATGTACGATAGCATGCGGCAGGAGAAAACAAGCAAACCAGATCAACCTCACTCAGTTCTTCATCCCTGAAGCACCACCCGAGGCAGAGTATAATGAGTTCTGACTTTCTTATACGTTTATTGAAAGAGTTTTGGTATGTTTATGTTACAAACAGTATAGGCCTATAAAATCCCCAAATGGTGGAGTAATGGTTGTTTGGTTATTAGCAGGCACTCACTATTCACAATGTGAAATCATTGACAAGAAAGAAAGTCATGTTAGGCTCTGGTCAAACTTCAAATACATATATCTAATTCATAGAATAGCCAAAGAAAGTCCTTAACCAGCCAAAAAGCTGTACTTCTCAAAAAGAGCTGTGTGAAATAATGAACCAGTAAGTAAGCAAGGATTTTCACCCTGTTATAGGTCAGTTACTGTTATTTAATTTTGTATTGTTTATGATGATTAAAACTAGGCTGATTATCTAATTTCGTTTTTGACTACAGTTTTATTTATATGTAGTCAACAAATTACATTCTGAATACTATGAATATAAAAATCCATGATTCCTAGGTTGAAATTAGGACTAAACTAAAAAGTGCTCAACCCGATCCACCCAATGGTGTTTTATTGTTCTGTTCTCAAGTTGGAAACCCTACCCAGCTTACCCTCCTACACATGAAAGAAGTGTGATCTCACATAACGGCTCCATTCAATCCAAGCATGCGCCCCCAAACGAACCCTAACCCCCAAACAGACCTGGCTACACAAGGCTTTCGTATTGGATCTTTTAAGCGGTAACAAACAAAATGTACCCTGTGCCAGCGCAGTCTGTAGAAATCCCAGTAGAAAAATCCAGATTAGAAGTCTGTCCATTGTGGCTGTGGCTTCTTGCAGTGTGTGGTAAATGTCAAAGGAACAGGAGGAAACCTGAAAAACAACGCACTGCATCATTGTTGTCAAAATAATGTTCTCCGGACGAACTGTGGGTGCGGGTTTTCACCATAAACACTTAACTTTGTTTCCATATCATTATAAAGATTAATAAAGTCTATCTTATCTTTAGTTTGTCGCAGGGACCAGAGAGGAGACCAGGGGCCAGGGGAGACCAGGGGCCAGGGGAGACCAGGGGCCAGGGGAGGTCAGACTTCAACTCTTGGATCTAGGTCAGCTGAAAGTGAAAAACCTGACATTTCAGTGTTAGTGCCCCCTACAGAGTGAGCCAAAGGTATCCATGTCATGGGGAGGAAAACATTTTGTTATGAAACAAACCAGCCTCTGCCGTTTCCAGATTTGAGTTAGGGTTAGCATCAAAATGGCAGCTGCAGAATTGTGACCAGTTAAACAATGTACAAGCTGCTAATAAAATCTTTCCAATTTTCACCTCACACTTGTAGCGAACCAGCCTCCAATGTTTCACCAATTTTCTCAAAATTGCTAAACATAATTTCATCAGAATCAAAAGTTAGCTGCAGAAATTTGATCAGTTAAATTGTGAGAAAGCAGAGGAATAATAATATAGATGCATTGTTTTTATGTAGCGCTTTTTTGGACACTCAAAGACTGTTCACAGTCTAAACCCTAAAAGCAAATACTGCCTTTTTTACCCAAATTGGACAATTTCAAAATGGCTCCCAATACTCAGACAAAGTTCGATTTGCATCAAAACTGAATCGGTTGTTCAATTATTGGATCTTGATCAGCAAAAGTGAAATACAGGAAATTTTCCCTCAACATTGACGGCTAAACACTCCTTCTGTGTGGAACCTCTGCTGTATTATGGACTCCACCCTCTTATTTAAACCCCACATCAATCTCACCTCCAAAATATTGTTTTTCGTTCGCCGGTCCACTGCTGAAATACTGGTTCACGCCTTCATCACCTCCAGACTCGACTACTGCAACAGCCTCCTCTATGGTCTCCCTTCCGTACATCTCCAAAAACTACATTACACACCAGAACTCTCCTTCTCACTTACAAGTCTCTTCACAACCCGGCCTCTTCTTATCTCACTGACTTCCTCCATCATCACTGTCCCACCTGCCGCCTCAGATCCACAGACTCCAACCTCCTTATTCCACCCCCTTTATTACACCTTGGGGGGCCACAACCCATCAGAAAATTCTCAAAATACATAATAGACTATGTAGAAACAAACACATGGCAAGAGGCAACAGTGTTTATTGCAAAAAAGAGAGATGATCAGTGGTTATTCAATTTTTAAATCAATCATTAATCAATCATACATAAAGTTGATAAATCACAAAACAAAAAGAGAGACCAGAGATAGAGAGAGAGACCAGGGAAATCCAGAAAGAGAGAGACCAGAGAGAGAGAAACTAGAGATATAACAGAGAGAGAGACCAGGGAGATATACCAGAGAGAGACCAGAGATAGAGACCAGAGAGAGAGACCAGGAAGATAGACCAGGGAGAGACCAGAGAGAGAGACCAGAGAGAGACCAGAGAGATCAGTGTTTTTATCAGCCTTTGTAAAGCATTTTATTGGCCCCTACAGGCTCAACACGACCTCTCCTGGTGCTAAACACAAATGAATCCCTTGTTAATTCTCTATTCTGTCATTTCAAAACGTCATCAACTTTATTTACTTGGAAAATTTCATCCAGGTGGCTCACTGAAACATGATCTTTTTGGATGAGAGGTGGCAATCATTAAAAAGCACATTCTAGGTCTCTCCTCTAGCCTCCACCAAGTCGGACACAGTCACTTTGCCTTTGAAATTCTTGGAGCATAGTATCTGAAATCCATCCATCCATCCATTTTCTACCCTTTAATCCATTTCTGGGTCAGGGGGGTGGCAATCAGAGATGCCACCCAAGTCTCATAGCACCAGCCCCTCACTGACCCTCTGCAGGTGGTGAGTCCACAGGAGGACGGCTGCTCTCTGAGTGTGAACATAGCCTTGATCTTTCAGTGGGGGCTTAGTATCTGAAATAAAACACAAAAATTCAGTCTGGACCTAAAGTGAGGTAGAGGACCTGTTTTTGCCATAAGTTTGCAATATTAGCATAGATGGAGCTAGAAACAAGTCCAAGTCACCTTTCAATAATGTGTCTCCTTTAAATAATAATGTGTATAAAGTATTCCCCACTTCTACCACTAGAGTTACACAAGCTTATATTCAAGCTGGAGTTTCTCCCTCTAATGAATGGTTTATATCTGGATTAACAAAGACAATATCTCATGTAAAGAGCAGGACCACAGGGAGTGATAAACCACAGATTTAATCCCAAAATGATGTGTGTGACACAAACGTTTCTGAGATAGAGGAATTTACTTTTAAATGCAAGTCCAAAGGAACCAGAGAGAGAGACCAAAGAAAGACCAGAGAAAAGAGAGACTAGAGAGTAGCTTGAGAGAGATAGCAGAGAGACTAGAGTGACAGTCTCTATTGGGCTTCATTGCGCAGGTTAGTGTTGTCTATCTATAAACAGTTTATGCAATGTACAGATGGAAAATGTTGTAGCTTTCAGAGACTCTCTTACCGACCACTTATCCGATATGTGGGAGGCCCTCGTCACCCTTGTGCCCTCACCAGCGACATTGTGAATGAGCCACTGGAATTTATCACACAAGGTCACACTGAAACACAAGTTGTACACAGTTAAAGTCTTATTTTAAAGCAAGTGTCTCGCTGTTTCTCTCCTCTGTTAAACTTATCCTGTGAAGTACTTTTGGGGCACACAGTGGGATGCCGCGTATCACTCTGACAACAAACCCCACCCGAGCCCACACCCCCTGGTAATTTAGTTGAAGTAACTTGTTGAAGTAAATAATAGGTATATGTAAAATATATATAAGTTACATAAAATATGCAACACCCCTCGTAGTGACTTTATGAAAGTGGTTTATTTACAAGGAACCAGAGGATGTTACACAGATCTCACAGAGCACAGATCTCACAGAGCACAGATCTCACAGAGCACAGATCTCACAGAGCTGAGAGCACAGATCTCTCAGAGCTCAGATCTCACAGAGCTCAGATCTCACAGAGCTCCGATCTCACAGAGCACAGATCTCACAGAGCACAGATCTCACAGAGCTGAGAGCACAGATCTCTCAGAGCACAGATCTCTCAGAGCTCAGATCTCTCAGAGCTCAGATCTCTCAGAGCTCAGATCTCTCAGAGCACAGATCTCTCAGAGCTCAGATCTCTCAGAGCACAGATCTCTCAGAGCTCAGATCTCTCAGAGCACAGATCTCTCAGAGCACAGATCTCTCAGAGCACAGATCTCACAGAGCACAGATCTCACAGAGCACAGATCTCACAGAGCACAGATCTCACAGAGCACAGATCTCACAGAGCACAGATCTCTCAGAACACAGATCTCTCAGAACACAGATGCTTACCAGACTCCTGAGTGGGCAATGGGACCCACGATCACAGGCACATCCTCCAGGGGCTTCACCATCCACTCAGCTTTGTACACAGGTGAGTTAAAGAGCTCCATAAGATCTTTCCCTGACACCTTTATACATGGTTCTACAGAGAGAAAGATCTACAGTATGTTAAAGTGACATTACAAATGGCGTCAAAATAAATGAGAACCGGCAAATCTGGGGACGCTATATTAATATGATAGCAAAAGTACACATTTTTTTGTGTATGGGGGGTAGCGTCTTGCAGACAGCATTGAAACCGATTGGGAACTTTTTGAAGATACAGTATTGTAAATGTGTTGTTAAAAACGGTTTTACCCCTGCACCTTTTCTCTTAAAGTAAACGCCTTCTATAGGGTCTTGCTTCTTTGGCTCTACCTCTGGTTTTACTTGATTCATTCTTACTCTCCAGCCAATTATATAAATAATTTAAGCACAAGGTTCGGGCTTGTCAGGTAATTAAGAGATCAGTCCCAGATGTGTTTCAAAACCAGTGCAGCAAAATATATACAAAACTTCACAAATACAAGACGTCACCAAGGTCTGAAGTTGAAGTAGGAGCATTCGAGTAAGGAGGTGCCCTGGTTGTAAGGAAATCGTCACTTGAAGAACTTTCAGTTGTGAGAGGAGGAGTTGCAGCTACAGTAAAAGAAAAAAGATGATTAGTGATAAAATGCAGCTGTGTTTGGAGAGAGTTTATTATTAAAGGTATTTATTGCTGTAATTCAAATTAAATGTGATACCCATATATGACATAGACTCATATCACTGTGACCATTGTTATTCTGATTGTGTAGCTTACTATATATTTGTGTTTCTTACAAACTGAGCCTTAATCATCAACATTACAATAAACACAGGATTGATCTCATATTTTGACATTGATTTTGACGTTGACATTCACAGTTGAATTAAATAAAATTTTAACCACGTTCTAAGTTTCACCTGTAACACCAAACATTTTCCCGTGTCTCTAATGATAATTACCTTCTCCTCCATAGTGTCCCAACAGGACGACCAAGCAGATTATTCTTCCTTCCATTGTCTCAAGTGCGAGGGGCAGTCAAGTTTAGGATTTGTGAGAGGCACAGTCTGAGCCTGTTTTATTGGTACCACACTGTTCCCTCCCACTGCAACTGACAAAACAATGCTGAAAAAACTTAGATACAGAAGAAACAATAAAGACAAACGATACAGAAGAAGTGTGTGGTAATCTTTCCCAGAAGGCTCGCAGAAACTCCCTTTAACTGGCCTCTTGCTGGAACTCTGAGGAGCACAGGGACTGGCCTCCTGCTGGAACTCTGAGGAGCACAGGGACTGGCCTCCTGCTGGGGCTCTGAGGAGTACACGGACTGGCCTCCGGCTGGGACTCAGAGGAGCACAGGGACTAATTTCAAATTTATGCGGCTGAAATCTGGAACAGTCTTCCTGAAAATGAGAGACAGGCTTCTTCTATGACAATGTTCATATTCAGGTTAAAAACAGTTCCATTTTGTTTTGTGGTGTTCTATTGTTGTTGATCACTTTTTGTCAAGAGGAAGCTTTTCAAAATTGAGGCCCCGGGCCAAATGCGGGCCGCTGTGTTATATTATGTGGCTGTACAGTATGCCTCGACAACAGTGTCAGTGTCATCCAGCCAACTTCAGCTCCACCAATATAGTCATGCTGTACCTCCTTCACAAGCTCAGAACTTTTGAAATCCAGTCATTAACTTATATAATGTATTAATTTGTACAAACTGACATTCCGGCGAAGAATGCGATAGTAAAGTATTCCGTTCAGGTTCTATCAAGAAATTTTATCCGGAGCTAGAGGAATGTTTAGCAAATGTAATTGCCGGCAAAGATTGTGGCGCTACTCTCCACGGGCTCCGTTAGCGGTAAAGGAGATGGCTAGGCTAAATGCTAACGACTCACTCGGGCGCACTACATACGTCACGGTAAACTCAGATTCAATGGTTTCAATCTGCAAAAGGAGTTAACCCCTCCCACCTGTAAACGGAGCTCCAGACCTTAGTATGAATTGTAATTCGTACAATGGTGTGGTACGACCAGGCTAAGTCTGCCTATCGCCACCGTTGAAACTAATGTGCTCCCACTTTCGCCTTCTATGGGCTTTTTCGGGTGACAGTAGCTCAGTTGGTAGAGCATTGGCCTTTGAGCCAGAGGGTCGTGGGTTCGAGCCCGACTTTCACCATCGACTCCCACTGTCTGCTGTCGTTGTGTCCTTGGCAAGACACTTAACCTCTGGGAACACCAACCACAGTGGGGCGGCTGCGGCTGTAAAGTGCCAAACTGCTCCTTCGGCAAGACACTTTACCCCCATTGCCTAGAATGAGTCTGGTGTGTGTGTGAATGGTTGGTGGTGGTCGGAGGGGCCGATGGCACATACTGGTTGACTCGCTTCTGTCAGTGTGCCCCAGGGCAGCTGTGGCTACACTAGTAGTTTACCACCGTGTATGGAGTGAAAGAATAATAACATTTAAAGCGTCTTTGAGTGTACAAAAAAGCGCTATATAAAATCGATGCATTATTATTTTCAAAATGGCCGCGGGTGCATGCGTTAACTGGCATGAGCCCATCAAGGCCAAATTTGATTGGTCCAAAAAAATCCTTCCCTTAACACATCTGAAACGTAGTGTTGGGCCTAGAGGCGACTTTTGGACCATCCTGTAAAGCCGTATTCGAGAGGAAAGAAGACACCATACAAAAGCATTGGGTAATTCTCTTTCCGGGTACACCCCCACCGACTACAAGTGAGATTGCAAGTATGTCAGTGCGCATGCTCATGGACATTATGGAGCCGGAACTCGCCCCCACTGGTCTGGACCGAATCCACTGGCTGAGTCTGGTGAATCTATGGAAGCTAACTGTGAATACCTTTCTCTGGAAACAATAGAAAAGTTACTTACGTTCACGCTCTGGGCACCGCAATTCCTCCTCAATCACAGAATCTATATTTTCTGCTTCTTTCACAGTCATTGTTTTGGAACTAATATTCATATGCTTTTTGTTAGATCTACTTTTTCAGACACAAGCACAAAGCGTCAAATGGTGATGCACAGGGCATCACCATTTGACGCTTTGCAATAAATGTCTCCTGTTGGACTACCACCATGTTATATTTATGGAACACAAAAGTTAGGTACCCCAGCTAAAAGCCTCGCCTTTAACACCACAGTTAATGCCGCTATAAAGTAAACTCTGTGCTAACAACTGACACCTGTGATATATGGAAAGAAAATGTCATCAAATAATATTTAAACACACAATCTACGTTGTCATGTAATTTTTAGTTTAAGAGAATCTACTTTAGCTGAGTAGAAACCTGGTGCACAGTGCAGATGCATGAGGTACATTGAGCTACTCACAATATGAGGGAACAGTGCAACTTAACAGTGTATTTTCCAAAATTATCTAATAATCCCTTGCCTCCATGCGGCCACACAAACATAATAATTCAACATTGCAATCGGAGTGAACTTTTAACGGTTGCTAATCCAGTCCATACTAACAGTTTGAATTCAAAGTCCATTTGTTGTAAATTCTCATTTGTCTATTTTTGCTATTTATGTTTATTTTTATTCTGCTCTAACTTGTTTGCACCGAGAGCCAAAGCAATTTCCTAGTTTGTGACTTCTTGTTACTCACATGGCAATAAAGGGATTCTGATTCACACTACTTAAGACTTGCTGCCGTTTCCGGCGCAGAAGTCCAACAACTGAACACCGCTGTGTGTGTTCAGATCGGGGCTGTTTTTCCGCTTCACCCCTTTCCAAGTGTTACTGGCGTCCCCCACATGTTGTTTAAGTCCCCCAGGAGAATAATGGAGTGGTGCACTGTCCAGTAACCCTCCCAAGGATTACAAGAAGACAGAGTACTCTGCACTACTGTTTCCACGTGATAAACGCCAGAAAGTGAAACGTCCAACCCATGTGCTGTGTCAGTATCCTATAATGTGACTGTCATGTTGTCCTCTTTCAGGGGCTGACACCTATAATGTGACTGGCATGTTGTTGGCGTGTTCTTGTGAATAGTGTGAAGCTGATAATAAGCGCATAATATAGTGTAAACATGAGGCAAAGACGGGTTTGGGTCGAGGGTTTATTTAATCCAAACAATATTACGGATTAAAGACAGAATTCTTGCACAAGCACTTACAAAGTCACATGAACAGTAAATAACAATGAATATCATAACTTAAAAGGTACAGTCATTAGTTTTTACTACCATCTAGTGTTGAGATTATATATTGCAATCCATTATCTAGCACAGTAAGTATTACAGCTACGGTAACCTTGAAGAACCGCACAAGGCTGAAATATAAACAAATGTCCATCTGCCTCTTTCTGAAGAGGCTTCTGCTGCAGAGACTCGCAATGAAGTTTTGTAAACGCGATGTGAAGACATGCGTGGAGGAATGAGGCGTCTGTGGAGCTTTACCAAGAGACAAGAGCAGGAATGGATTTAAGCTAAAACCACGATGACCAAGATGACCAAAGGAACCATGGCTAACCCCTCGGTCATGAACAGACACAGCCGCAGCAGAACTGAGGCTTAATGGCGATAGAAATAATAGTTTACCACAGAGTTGCGTCCTGCCCGTGATCCTGCCTCCCGAGATTAGACCATTCAAACTCCTGCTGTTGATAAACGGTATTCTGGCGATAGTTTTGCGGGGGATTCTTTGTGAAGGAAGTTACGTGTTCTGCACGTGTGCCTCTGTTGTATACAAACTAAGCTGTGTGCCTCCTATTGTTTTAACTCTGCCTTTTAGTGTGTGTGGTTTGCGATGTTGACATGTTGCTGTTATGACTGGTTTCTAGATTTTTGCATTATTATTTTACAAAAACATTCTTGTACGGGTAGTTTTTTTGTGTCCTCCATGGTTACAATGGAAGCAACAATATTAGAAGCGCCAGTGAAATAATCCTTTTTGTCACTTGACCTGGAGCGTCTACAACCTTTCAAAATTATGGTGGAGGAAATTTTCTCAGAAAGGCCACATTTATGATTGGTTAACAGGTATTTTCATTTGGAGCAACTGTAAAAACTACTGAGTGAACTTTCAACATGAAGTGATGAAAACACTGAGGGAAGAACTGTTGTGTATTAGGAGTGTGACAATATATCAATATGGTGATGTATCGTGATACTTTCTCACGCAATGGATTATTGATTTTCTTTTGCAAAGTATCGATTTAAAAAAAATATATTAGGGCTGTCAAAATTCATCGCGTTAAAAAAATTTACGCTTTTAACGCCCATACATCCAATAATAACACTCAGAATGCTGTTGACACATGTGTGAGATGGCGACAGAGCAGGTAGATCCTCTAGGAATTCAAGTTAAAAAAAGAATAGGGGCATGACCGCGACGCACTTGCTATGAACTGAACAAGTTCATAGCAAACAACAGCATCCTCCGTGGACGCGGCAAACAGCGCCACCGTAACGTGAAAGACCATACATACACGCACAGAACTGCACTATGGAGCCAGAAAGTGTCCGTGTCTCCTCCCCCTTCGCTAAATTAAAGAGACAGATAAAAAGAAGAAAGAGGAGGCTTTAGCTGAAGCAGAATATGTCGAGCAGAAAAAATACTGTTTACTACAGAAAGACAGAATGTTAATAATGTATAATAATGTATAATAAAGAAACACAGTACATATGTTCACTATGATGTCATTTATCTTTCCATTCAAACAACCATTTACAGAAAAATATGGCATAATTTTGACGATAGTTCGAAATGCGAATTAATTAATTTCTAAGCTGTAATTAACTTGATTAAAATTTGTAATCGTTTGACAGCCCTAATATATATAAATACACATACATATATATATATATGTCTCCCAAAAAAAATCTTTGAAGCTTTTTTTGAAAAAAAAAAAAAAATAGTATTTTTATTTAATATATGGCTACATCACACAATCTACAATTTCTAGAATGTTCATATTGATTATATGGATGTAAAACAGATTAAGCAGATTTTTCCTAAGATGTGCAGGTTAAAAGGTTAAAAGGCTAAGCTTTGTAT